AGTATTGTAGGCCTGTCTGACGGCAAGTATTTGGCTTGGCTTCTGGCCTGGAGAGGCTACTAAAAGTTCAACCCAAGATTCCTTATGAAAGGTTCCAGCAAAGCAAACTTTAAAAGATCCTCATGATCAATCGCTATTCTTGCTGAGCTTATGTAAATAATTAGGCTAGATTTGTTAAGACTGGATTTGTTCTACAAATGCATTGGTCTCAATTTGGCTATCTCTGGAGAGGGGGGATATTTAGAGCAAAAAACTGTGTTTCAACAATGCACCATTATGGATGTTAAATTCTAGTTATGATTGCCTTTAAATGTTTGTTGTTTGCCTAAACTAGACAACTTGAGGTAAACTTCAGGAAATTGTCACAGTATTTCATGTATAGGCAATCTTCTGTGCTTGTTATTCTATGGGGATAATAATAAGACCCCATAAACATATAATTATTTAAACAACTGGAAAACAGGATAGACCTCTAAATATGCAAACCCTATCTTCCCTAAACCTGATCTGACAGCTACCAGAAACCCGCCCCTTTTGAAGACTTGGAGGTGGACTCTACAGACATACAACCAAATAGAGGATTCAGTTTCAGGTATCACTCCATGGGTCCATTGCTCCAGAGCTGAGAAGGCCAACTCAGAGGAACCCTCAACCTGGCAAAGTGATCCAGATCCAGTCAACCCACTTAAACTGACCCTCAAAAAGACACTGATCCCTGAGATCTCCAGCCCTGCTCCAGCCACACCCCAGAAGCTGGGTGGCCTGTGCACACAGAAGCTTGAGGACTCAACATGTGGATTCCCAGGGGTTTGGATGCAACTCTGCCAGCCCTTGCCCCTCACTGGTGTCATAGCCCTAATCTTGCTTCTTACTGTTGGGCTGATAGAGACTGTACCAACAAGCTGGACATGGGACAAAAGATGAATGCTGGATCTCACATACCTCCTCTGGATGGGAGGATTATTAAGTATTGCCTGTATATTATGATAACCTCTCTCAACCTCACAACTGCCACTTACCCACTTTTGCCCCCAGGATTGTTACATGACAATAAGGGGGTCAAGGGCATTCAGCACCTTCACCTCCCTCCACAAAGATTGCTACAAAGGAAAAACACCCACTCTCTGTCAGTTACCAAGTGCCCCATGGACTAAGTATTGGACTGTAGAGATAACCCAAAGTGTCAGGAACCCATATCACAATAAGGGCCTCCAGAGAGGGAAGCCAGCTTGCTACACTTACCTTCCTCAATGGGGGATCTCGAACGGGGGAGGGGGTGCAAGACAGGGCCCTTCAAAAAGTTATAAAGGATACCCAGGATAGGGTAATACAAGCCATAAGGGTGACCACTCCCCTGGCAGCCTACCAGGGTTTGAACCTGTCAGCCCTCAATCAAATGCTTACCAATTCCCCACTCCAGCATTGGGCCAACACTACTCTCCAAGTCCTCCAGAAAATAATCACACCCAAACCTGCTGGATGTGCTTGCCCCTCAGCCGGAGGGCTTACTTAGCCACTCCGATCCCTTTGACCAGGGAAGCTCCTGAAAATCTCAAAACCAACACCTCTGTCTTAACTGGACCCCTGGCCACTGAGATACGTCTCACAAATGCCAACAATCTAATCTGTACAGTCCTTGAAGGTATGAATGGTACCTCTCTATGCGAAAGAAATATAACCTTAACGAGGAATACAACCCTATGTTCAACCCCTGGGGTATTCTATCTGTGTTCTAACTCGGCCTACCGATGCTTAGAGGCCAACTGGACTCAGATATGTTATTCCATCTTCGTAACCCCATAGATATCCGTATACACTGAAGATCAGCTCCTAATAGCCTTTAGCCCCAAGTCCTGGGCTAAACGGGCAGTTCTGCTACCCATTCTGATAGGAGCAGGAATTGCGACAGGAATAGGAACCGGAATAGGGGGCAGAGGTTCATCCATAGGACTATTCCACAGACTATCTCAAGAGCTAAATGAAGACATGGAACAGGTGGCAGATTCTCTGGTAACCTTACAAAACCAAATAAACTCTCTGGCGGCAGTGATCCTCCAAAATAGGCAAGCCCTCGACCTCCTCACTTCAGAAAAAGAAGGGAATAGTTACAACTAAGGTTAAGGAACTGAAGGAAAGAATTCAACGTACACAACAGGAAAGTATCAATCAATAGAAAGGATGGGATCTCACAGATTGGGCATCCTGGCTTCCTACCCTGGTGGGGCCCCTCCTCTACATAATTTTACTTGTATCCATTGGCCCCTGTATACTGAATGCCATGGTATGTTTTATTAAAAACACTGTTGCTCACCAAACTACTGCATGTATCTTAGCCTTCCAAGGGTACCAACCTGTAAAACTAAAAGGTGATGCCTGCTAAAAGGTTTTTTTTTTTTTTTTTTTTTTTTTTAAAGGCATCAAAGGGGAGAATGTTGGAGAAGTGAATAAATACTGCACCAAAAATGGCGGTTGAAGCTAAAACAAGCTCTGGTCTCTAGCTTAGAGACCCCTCCTCAGGATTCTTTTTCCTTTGTTGGCTGTGTGCGTGAAAACCCCCACAGATATGGAAGCTGACTACTAAAAATTACCCTTCCCACTTGCATTCGGCGCTCAGATCTTTGGAGAAACAGTCTCCTCTGAGCCCGCCAGTGTTAAATAAATCTCCAATCCACCAAGATCTCCAAGTCCTGCTTGGTTTTTCCGCCAGCATACCAGCCTGGTTCCATAACATTTTAACTTCCGATGCCACCACCTACTCTAAGCCAGTGTCATCTCTCATGTGTATTATTCTAACAGTCTTACTGGTTTCCCTGCTTCCAGCCTTGCCCTGCTACAATGTATTCTTTTTTTTTTTTTTTTTT